CTTAGTCAGTCTTCTACTTTCCAACGTTTGAACTTCTGCCTTCCAACTCATAGCCGGACCTCTGCTTTCCAACTCTTAGTTGTACTTATGTTTCCAATCTACTGTACAGACTTCCACCTTCCAACTGATAGTCGAACACCTGCCTTCAAACTGTAGGTTGGACTTCGTGCTTTTAACTTTTAATCGGACATCTTCCAATCTCTTTGTCAAATTTCTGCCTCAAAACTCTTAGTCGGATTTCTACATTTCAATTCTTAGTCTGAGTTTCCCTTCCAACTCCTAGTCGGACTTCTGCCTTCTACCTGTGAGTCGAATTTCTACCTTATAGCTCTTAGTCGGACTTCTGCCTTAGACTTCTAAATCATAACTCTTGGTCGGACTTTTTCCTTCTAATTTCTGTCTCCTGGTGGTACAGCGGTAAGCCTTCAGATTTACAACGCTAAAATCAGGGGTTCGTTTACCCTCGGTGGACACAGCAGATAGCCTGATGTCAAATTTCTGAAAACTCTAAGTCGGACATTTGGCACCAAACTTCTACCTTAAACTCTTAGTCGGACTTCTGGTCAAATTTCTACTTAAGAACTATCAGTCTTAACCACAGCAACTCATGACGTCACTGAAGGCTAAAAGCAAAAGGTTTTAATTTTCTCATCATTTCAGTTTTACTCGTGATAAACGAAGGTTTACCTTCCGTCAAATTTCGGTTTATTGGATTTCAAGAATATTATGTTTATCAGAAAAGGAAAAACAAAAAACTTTGCGCACGATACTTTAATACAAAATAAAATAAATAGATAAAATATTCAATACCTTAAAAAAAAGACAGAGAAATGTAAACCTAACCGCTTCACCAGCAATATATATTCTAATTTATCGCTCTACTTGCTTATATATACACACACACACAGAGAGCAAACGTTTGGATATTCGAGTTTTCACTTAAATGGCAGTGGAAATAAAAGCAGAGAAAATGAATGAGGAAACCCGGCCCGTTTGATATCATAGCTACATCATCTACCGTTCATAATTCCTTTGATATAATTCAACCCAACCTTACAACTATTAAAACAAAAAAGGGCTTTTGATGCTATCGATACTCGTTAACGTACTTTTTTTTTGCGTTGTTGTACTCATTTATCTGTTTGCTTTTTCTTGAAGAATGTGTTGTTACGTGTGATATATTATGCAAGACTACTACACGGTATTTCCAAAGAAATGATACACTCTGTTCTCTTGAAAGTAGGGCCCGGCATGGCCAGGTGGTTAGCGTGCTTGACTCGCAATCTGAGGGTCGCGGGTTAGAATCCCCATCACACCGAACATGCTCGTCCTTTCAGCCGTTGGGGCGTTATAAAGTGACGGTCAATCCCACTATTCGTTGGTAAAAGAGTAGCCCAAGAGTTGGCAGTGGGCGGTGATGACTAGCTGCCTTCACTCTTTCATTGCTAAATTAGGGACGGCTAGCGCAGATAGCCGTCGCGTAGCTTTGCGCGAAATTAAAAAACAAACAAACTGTTGAAAGTGAACAGTTGCAGTTAACCACCAAGAACAAGCGAATACACACGTTATCTTTGATACTTACATGTAGGAATGATATTTTGTAAACTTGTTACTGTATCTATAAACGTTTAATCACTGAAGTCCTCCAATGGCTCAGCGGAGGGTCTTCAGGCTTACGATGCTAAAAACTGGGTTTCGATCTCTCTGATGGGCTTAGCACAGATAGGCCATTGTGTAGCTTTGTGTTTAATAACAACCAAAACTATTTACTGAAATCAATGTTTGAAAGTAATATGTTTAATAACGTTAATTTAAGCAGTTGGTGGTCATTCGTAGTTTTAGTATTGATTTTCGAGAACAATTTAGAAAAAGAACGTATAAAAGACACTTCCTCCTAAAGATCACCTCACGAGACACTAGAGTTCAAATATAGCCATCCCAGTGGTTCGGCGCTAAATCTGTAGGCTTATAACGCTAAAAACTAGGTTTCAATACCCGTGATGATTAAGCCCATTATGTAAGTTTGTGCTTAACGACAGACAAACCTAATTTTGTAAATAGCGGCCAGAGAGAAGACAGCCAGTTAGTAGCACCCGTCGCCACGAGGGCTTTGTGCAGTTTTGAACAGAATAGCTGGGTTCATTGTCGCTCTTACAGCGGCTGAAAGTGCTAAGCATGGCCAACAGCATCGCAGTACAAACCTTGGACTCTACGAACCCGGCAGGTAATCATCTTCATACAAATCAACAGCAATTTGAACTAGAAATTCAAAAACTTGAAAATATAAAACAACTTTAAATCAATAATTTTGACAATGATAAAAACACACACATTCACCTCATTTCCATTATCACTGCCCTTCCCGTTGGAAATATCAATAAACACTGCTGAAATATATGCACATAATAAAAAAAGATCATGCTACTGTTTAAGTCAACATAGAGAGCTTGGCAAAGCTTAGTGTTTAAGACACATTATTCACAATCTAGGGACTTGAGGGATCGAATCCCGTCATTGTATATCCTTGTTCTTTCAGTCGTGGGGGCGTTATAGTGTGACGATTGGTAAAGAGTAACAAAAGAGTTGGCGCTGGGTGGTGCTGGCTAGAGCTACCCTTCCCTCTAAAAAAATCACTTGTATCAACAATATTATATCAACAACACTGTATCAAAAATATTGTATCAACAACATTGTATTAACAATATTACATCAACAACATTGTATCAACAATATTATATCGACAATATTGCATCAACAATGGTATATCGATAATATTGCATCAACAATATTATATCAACAGTATTGTATCAACAATATTATATCAACAGTACTGTATCAACAATATTATATCGACAATATTGCATCAACAATGGTATATCGACAATATTGCATCAACAATATTATATCAACAGTATTGTATCAACAATATTATATCAACAGTATTGTATCAACAATATTATATCAACAGTATTGTATCAACAATATTATATCAACAGTATTGTATCAACAATATT